AAGGGAAAGAAAGAGAGAGAGAGAGTGTGTAAGCAGTGGTAAAGGAGAAGGGGGGCGAGAATGACGACAAATGTGTTTAGGAAATTCTTGGGCGCACCAGCGGTGGCGGGTGATATCTGCCAGAAGTCTCGGAGGCGTCCTTAATGGCCGACGCTCGAGAACGAATTTAATGGCACGCGCAGTACTGCGCCTCCTACTTGGCCCCACCTCGCGACGGACCGGCGGGGGACGCTACGAGCCACCCTGCAGCCAATCGCGGCGTTGCGAACGTGTCACGTGATTATCCAATCCGCGGGTCGTTGCGCCTTTTTCCCCAAGGCGTCGGGTTGGCTTCGATGGCTCGTAGCGTCCACTGTGGTGCGGGGTAAGGCGAAACGGAGCGCATGGTGGTCTATATGGTTGGACGCCTCCGTCGTATGCGCAATTCGAGCGTAAATGTGGGCAACTTGCGCACGCGCGTGCGTGTGGGTGTGTGTTGCAAGACGCTACACTCGGAATTCGTCGGAGGAAAGACTTTAACTGGAAGCGACTTCTCCCTTTCGGCTGGCGCATATGCAGTAGCTATATAGGATGAGGATCTCTAAGAAGCTCCGAGAAGATGAGAACAAAATTGTCGCATTGAGTGGGCTCCCATTTCGAGGAAGACGCTCGTAAGATATGCTATGTAAGCTTGCGCGGTAGTTTTCTGTCTCTTCTCGGGATGAGCAGCTCGTGTCTCTTTATATCTTTTGGCATGTAAAGAAAGCTTTGAACTCCTTTAGCTCAGAATAATAACGCGAGCACTGGTCACGTGCGCTTCGACTGTAGACGTGGACAGATGTGTCCCAAGAGGGGGATCGGTGGCCGAGTGGTCTAGCGCACACCAGCTCGGAGCACGTGGAGCGAAAGCTCGCGCTGCAGAACCCAGGGATCCTGGGTTCGAGCCCCACCCCTGCCCGTTTCGATCTGGACGAGCATCGTACCGGCGTGCGGTCGTGTATCAGTACTGCGTGATGCACGTTAAAGACCCCAGGCTAGCGGCTGTACCGCACTGGCTAAATTGCTCATCTACAGCTGGGAGACTCGTTGCCCCTGTGAGGCAGACCAAGTTCTAGGCTGTATAAACACAAACACAACCCAATTTTTGTGTCCCAAGACGTTTGTAATTCCCTGCGCCTGCTCGTGCCCAACTTTCTGCCCGGTTTCTCACCTTTAACAAAACAAATAGATTCATGGGGTCCTCGTCCTGCCGAAGGTAATGTAATGAAGACTGCCGGGACACGTGTCAAATACACCGTGTTGAGGAAGCTATTTTTATGCGTGGCCTTTACCAAGTGACCGCATAACAAACGTGCTCCAAACTAAACGCTACTCTAAACGATTTCTAGGGTCGTATAAAAAAGTCGCTCTTGTTTGTCGCCTCACAACATTTAATGTCTGAAACGCCGATGATACTGGGTAATTTAGCGCAAACATTTGATGTCTATAACGTCGATGATATTGGGTCATTTGGCACCAACGTTTGGTGCCTGTAACGCCAACCATACTAAGTAATTTGGCACCAAGATTTGGTGTCTGGAACGTCAGTGCTACTGGGTCATTTGGCGTCTATCAGCATGTAAAGAGGGCCACGCAGTTAAAGGACGACTCCGCTTAATTTTTTATTTTTGAAAAAAAAAAAGGCAATGCAGTCCTCTTCAGTATCACTTAGGAAGGCCACACATCAACCATTACGCTGTTGTTCTGTCTAAATGTTTCTTAAACGGTCCGGCAAACTTCGCAATACGCCAAGTTGCCGAAATCGGATGGCTCTAGCGGGCGAATTGAGGCGCAACTGACAGCGCAATCAAGGCATTGGTACAGCCAATATTGAGGTAGACGTCATCACCATTGCCCCCGTTTCGTTTGTTTTTACTTCTCCGGACAAGCGGTGTCCTCTCGGCGGTGTCCTCTCGGCGTTCCCTCTGGGCGCTCAGCGGTGTCCATGTGATTGGCGTAACCCGCCTGCGCAGCGCGCTTCTTGGGAGCCGCCCGGCCCTTCCCTCCGTGTCCCGCACCACAGCCGCCGTCGTCGTCTCACCGTTTGTTCAGATTTTTTTCCCCCGGAGTCCCGTTCTCCCGAGCGAAGACTGATGCCACAGTTGTGCAGACGTCGTCGAACGTCGTGGACACCCAAACGTGGCGGTGCAGACGACACTCGCGCCCGGCACACGCCCGCCCCACCGGTGGCCCGCCCGTCGTTGCCTAGAGGATCACGTGACATCTCGTACCACGTGATAGCCACGCTTTTGGCGGCCCGAAGCCAATGCTGTCAAGTGGAGCCTAAGTTTCGGAGTCCATTTCTGCTTATATTTAAAGTAAGATTTCACAAAATATATTCTATTTTTTGTGAAGCAAATGGCGTAGTGCTTTTTATTGGTACTTTTTTAATGTGAAATCACTCATCGTATTACAATTTTTGTCATTAAGCGGAGTTGCCCTTTAACGTGTAGACATGCCGTCTACTTCATGCTCATTTTTTTTTTATTCTCTATATAGCGGCTTAAAAGCCGTAATCAAAACTATCCCACATGATAATACATGCATGGGTCACCATGCTTCTTAGGTAACAACTTTTCACGGTCAAGGTACCACCTGTACGAGGGAACTTCGAAACAGTATCACCAATCACATGTCTGCTTTAACTGTGTCCCAAGATTAACCTGAAGGAGTCACACATTCCTTGTGACGGAACATAATTTTTTTTTTTAGCCTCGCATTAAAGTTTTTGAAACGATAAAGAAGAATTGTCATGCGGTCCCGGTTTTTAGGGGGCATTATAAAAATTTGTATATTCACTGGTATGCAGCGCGTTGCTGGAGCGCGCGTGCTGCCGGTGAGCTTCCACAACCTTGAATTCACTTTGTAAACTTCCTACTTCTTGGCAAATGATGAGCGGAATCTCGTTCTGGACTTGCACCACGAACGACGCGCTCTAATATAGCGTCGAACGAGCGCCACCTTTGGACAGAAGCAAAGCGTCTAGGTACGAGACAAAAAAAAAAAAAAGGCCTTTCGGAAATATTAAAGTTCGTAACTAGATTATGCTAGACTAAACCAGACTCGCGAAAAGAGAAAAAGGCAGTAACGGTTTGGTTTCACGCATCACCGTCCACATAACCAAGGCAGTAAATCACAGGTACATTTTCATTTGCAAGACGTGTACTTGATATTGATCACCCAAAGCACCTCGTTTTTTTTTGTTTTTGCTATCTTCCTTTTACAATGCTCCATCCACCCCTATTAAAAAGATGATAAACAAATTAGGAACAATACTAAACTATCAAATGTTGTATATTCAACAATCTGCGCGGCGTCAGGGAGCCCAATTTATGGAGATTGGATCCTCATCATACTTTTATACGCTGAGCTCCGCGTTTCTTTCCTCATGGAGGTTCATTATTACAGATTTTGGCCAAGCCGATTTAACGCGACTGAAAAACAAGCGCACATCAAAGCTTAAAAAAAATTTTAAAAATGTACGATTTTTTTATTTTTTTTTATTTTTACAGCTTTGGGGCGGAAGCATTACTGTTTATAACCTTAATTTGCGGAATGCGCCAGGAAACCGTGATTTGCAATTCGGACGTCGCAAGGAAGAAAAAAAAAAAAAAAAAAAAAACTAGAAAGAAATTTACTCGCGCGCTTTGAAACGCAATTTCCGCGAGAAAGAAAAGAACCTAAAAAAAACAAAAAAAACCGGTTGGGAAAATCAATTAAGGGGTATCAAAGGCGGTGGGCTTCCTGATGCAATCTTGCGACGCGGAACCCGAACCAACGTCCGTTTTTTTTTGTTTTTTTTTAGATTAACATAATTATTATTGCGTTGTATTTATACTCAAACCATAATGTCTCATAGTTTACTTTTTTTTGTATATTATATACACTTCCCCTCATATGGAATGAACTGAAAAGATTGCCTCTGAAGTAATAAACTGAAATGAAATGATATATATATATATTGCTGGCGTATACTGTTTTGGTGAGCTCTTCTGCATAGTAGAGGAAGGGGTTGTTTCAATATTTCCCAGGATTTAAAGTCGTATTTAGAGCTTGGTCTCATCCGGTGTGTTGATCACGAGTTTGGCGTGAAGTAATAGTATAATGTGGGGATGGCCAAGTTGATGGCGGTTTATGAGATTTCATTTTCGTTCGTATGGAAGCCTCTTAGTATAAAATGAGTAAACAACAAAAGCATTCGTGGACTTCGCCTCCTAATTTCTTTCATTATTATTATTTTTTGTTGAGCGCGAGATTAAAATCAGCAGGAAGTAATTTACGCAAAGCGTTTTGAATGAAAGTACTCGTGTTCTCTTTTCAAAAGCTGCAATAATACGTAGCTTCCTGCTGAAAGCAGAATTCGCCAAAGTAGTTCGTTACATAGAGCTCTTCAATTTCTGGATGTCTCTAATGTTTTGTCGTTCCTTGGTGCTTTTGTTGTAACGTAACGGGTTCGGTTGACCTGAACTGCTGGGGCCTCCCCCCCCCCCCCCCCTCCCCTCCCCTTACTTGATGCACTAGTAACATATGTAGATAAGGCTTTTAGGAAGCGCGCGCCAGGGAATTAAATTATCTGAAGGCACTCAAATATCAGCATTATAGGCTCTTGCCGGAATACGCTTCCAAAAAATATTTGAGTTCCCTTTTCTGCAAAACACGGAGGCAGGCAATCAACGCCAGCAACCAAAGAACCACCGCGAATCACGGAAAGTGAGCTCACATACCTTTCTATAGAGTGCGTAGTAAAACACAAAGTGCCACTTGAAAGGCACATTTTCAGGCCGGAGAGACGTCGACACACAAAGAGATCGATGAGATGATCTAGAAGACATTCATAATGCTGGCAATACTGTTTAATATAAAAAACAAAGTATTGGGTGGAGGACCGACGCATTCTTCGAGTGTTTGTGTTAGCGCACCGTCATTAAAATCTTTTGCATGTGTCGTACTTTATACATTTGTCGGTCGTTCCTTCGCCAGACATGGAGGGTATTGATCCAATGTTCGATAAAGGCAGGTGCAGTGATGTTAGAGAAAGCAAATAGTCCTATAAAGATTGCAAATCTGGAGAACATCTTCAGAGTTGTTCTCTCGCGACGGTGGAAGACAGCGCCTTTCTCAAGTCCGTATAACCATAGGGAATTTCCGTGCGTCGGGCGTATATCATCGGGAAAATGGTGTGTTGTGCAGAAAACAAAAGCAATCAAAGAAACTGTGCGGCGGTTATCTTTTCTCAACCATTTCTGCTCGTCGTTTTTTGGAACGATTCGGATTCTATACGAATAGGACTGTAGTAATCGTGGTACTTCTGCGTTCTAACTCTCTGAATATTTGACTTGCAGAAACGAATACAGCTCGTTGTATAGGAATGTTCGCTATACAAGAAAAACTCAGCCTGTCTGGTAATACGGCACCTTTAGGCCTTCGCTCTTGAGAGTCAGTTTCGATAGTGATGGAATACGCGCTACATTTAATGGGACCTTGCATCAAAATTAATTGGGGAGCTAGTTGGTTGAAAGCGCTCTGTCCTGTCCCCTCCTTCTCTTCTTAAAGCGCTCTGTCCTGTCCCCTCCTTCTCTTCTCAGTCTTTTGCGCTTTCAAATCCACCATTTAATGGGACTACTTGAATTGATGTATAATCATACACCAATCAAATTCCGCGCCACTTTGAGGCAGACTGAGAGCACTGAGCTCGACGAACGCCTGAAATGGTCACAAAGGATCTCAAATACGATCGCATTGCGTCTTCTTTGGTAGTAGTCACAAAAAAGGCATACTATTTTTAGAATATGTAACTTTTAAAATTGTTCACCTTAACGTTCTGTAGATTAGGTCCAGGATTTTCAGTCTATTGTAAGCTCACTACCAGACAACACGATCTTCCTGCTCACGGAGACCTGGCTCGACGCCAGTGTGCACGACGGTGAGCTTTTGGGCACTGCACATGCCATATACCGCCGAGACAGAGGTGGCAGAGGTGGAGGAGTGCTCGTCGCCGCCCCCACAGGCTTCACAGTCGACCGGAGGCACGACCTTGAGCACCCCGACCTGGAGGCTATCTTCCGCGATCTCTACACGCCACAAGGTATTGTCCTGCTCGGGTGCGTGTACTGCCCCCCCTCCACGCGGGACGCCGCCTATAAGCTACTCGACGCCTCCCTCACCTGTGCATTGCTGAAACCGTACCGTGACGTCCTGATCATTGGTGATTTTAACTCGCATATCGACTGGTGGAGTCACGACGAACCGTTTCCTGGTGATGCTATTGACGATTTTCTCCTGGACACAACTTCTTCAGCTGGGCTTCTGCAAGTCTGCCACAGCCCCACTTACCTGCCTCGGAGCAGTTTCCTCGACTTGGTCTTCACTACGGACATCACAAAGGTCCTCTCCTGTGATGTTTATCCCGGCCTTAGTGGTAGCGACCATATGGCTGTGGAGGTGTCTTTCGCAACCTCCTTGCCCAGAAAGGGCCACTTTGCTCGTACTACTTGGAGATTTCATGAAACCGACCATTCTCACCTTGCTAATCTAGCTCATCTCGCGCCTTGGTGCATGACCACTGCGGGAAGTGACTGTCTCTCAGACTTTGACTTATGGTGTGATTTTGCGAGTGTCATCCAGCGCGAGTCCATTCCTCATTCACTTCGTTCTACCCGGAGGAAGAGGGCTCCCTGGATTACGCACGAGATTATAAAAGCGGCCAGTCAGAAAAGAGCGCTTTTCAAGAAGGCAGCGCGGCTGCAGTGTGCAGAGACACTCCGGGCAGCAAAGGACCTTCAGAGAACGCTGAAAGCTGCCATCCACACTTCTCACATCAGCTATGCTCGCAACGTCGCACTCAAGGCCAGGGAGGACCCAAAGCTGTTCTGGTCGTACATGAGCAGGTTACAGACCAGTAGCAACAAGCCAACCTTCGTGAACAACAACGTCCCTCTCACATCCCCACGGGATATTGCACAGTCATTCGCCCAGCACTTCGCCGGCGTTTTCAACGCTGCTGAGCCCACACCAGACATTGACCGCCTCGTGCAAAACATTGAGGAGAACACGCCATGCCCTAGCCTCCTGATGCCTGACATAACTCTGTCACTCGAGCACCTTCGTGAAGCTTTTCAACAAATTAAGCCCTCGCTCTCACCAGGCCCTGACAACTTCCCACCGGCATTCCTCAGGCTGCTCTGCCCGCGGGTATCCCCATCTTTGTTATCAATATTCCAGTCTTTCCTGGAAACGGCTGCTGTTCCAGACCTCTGGAAGCGGGCCTTAGTGACGCCTATCCACAAAGGGAAAGGCAAGCCTGTGAATGACGTCTCATCGTATCGGCCAGTCTCAGTCACTTCGATCCTGTGCAGAACTTTTGAACGGATGCTAAATCGTACCCTTCTAGATTATCTGTCCGCCAGCAACATACTCTCCTCGTCGCAGCATGGATTTAGGCCAGGAAGAAGTTGCGAAACTGCCCTGGCCACCATCACGCACTACATAAGCGATGCGCTGGACGACCACACTTCCACGGACCTCATCCAACTAGACTATAGCAATGCGTTTGACACGCTGGACCATCACCTTCTTCTCCAGAAGCTCGCAGGGGTTGGTGTACACGGCTCCCTGCTACGTTGGATAGCTCGCTTCCTTATTGGTCGCTCTCACAAGGTGGTGTTCCACGGGTCTTCGTCTGAGGACTTCACCATTTCCTCGGGTGTGCCACAAGGCTCTGTGCTGGGACCCACTCTTTTCTCAGTGTATGTTAATGACATGCCGAAGACAGAGAACACTCTGCTTATCCAATACGCCGACGACACAACCATTTTGTCCCGTTTGAACCACCCTTCTTCTAGCTCCCGCCTTCAAGACCACATCTCCCTGATTGCAGACTGGTCTGCTGCCAACTATCTACGACTAAGCCTCACCAAAAGTGCTGCTATGCGCTTCAGCAAGAAGAAGAGTGTTGACCCCCCTTGCTATTCTTTCTCTGGCACTCCTGTGTCCGTCGCCACACACCTTCAGATTCTGGGGGTGACCCTTGCACCTACTTTGGATTTTACCTTACATATTTCCAACATCGTGGCAAAGGCACGTCGAACCCTCGGGTTCGTCACAAGGGTGTCACGCTCCTGCGGTCCGGAGGCCTTTCGCATCCTCTATACCGCTCTGGTGCTCCCGCGTTTAGAATACTGCGCTTCCATCTGGAGGCCCTACCAAGCCCACCTCTCTCAGCGTCTGGAGGGGGTCCAGCGTCGCGCAACACGTACTCTCCTGTCGCGGACGGACCGGACGCTGGTCACCCCCCAGACCTATGAGGATCGACTGAGGCGCCTCAGCTGGCAGACATTAGACCATCGACGGGTCGTTGCGCGTGTGAGACTGTTGTGCCGCCTCCTGGACGGTTCACTAGAGAACACTTATCTCAACTCGATCCTCCGCATTAGTAAGCGGTCCGGACAACCCGAGCAGTTACGGGCTCGCACAGTTCGCCATAGCCGCACGTTTCTTCCAGCTGCGATCGAGGCCTTCCTCTCGGCGCCCCTGGATGTGCGCTCCCCCTCCCAGAAGACCGGGCGGGATCCGCGCTTCTGTGCCGAGCCTTTTCGCGAGTGCGGAATTGATTGTGTGGGGAAGTTCCGTTCGGGCCGGGATTGCGGGACGCGCGTGGCCCTCGACTGTTGCCGTGATGGGGGGTCCTGTCGCGGGGGGGTGATTGGGATCGGGACCTGGCTCGCCCTCCCAAGGTGTTGGGCCTTTCTCGGTCTCTCCCTCCTGGCAGGGCCCCCCGTCGCGGCGATGGGAGTCGCGCGCGCTTCGCGATTTCGGTTTGGACGCCCTCTGAGGACACTCAAGCCGTGCTAGGGCCTCGTCCCCCTTTTATTTATTTATTTTGTTTTTTTATTAGTATTGTGTTTTTTTGTTTGTTATGTTGAACTTTGTTTTCGTTTCCTGGGGGTTGGGCCAACAGACGCACCAGCGTACGGGCTTCCGCCTTTCTGTTTCGCCTCGCACGCCCCCAGGAAAACACCTGTTTGTGCAAATAAAGATTATTATTATTATTATTATTATTGTTAGCTGCTGAAAATTAAAACACCGGCTAGGGGACAGAAGCGACCGCCATCCATCCCTGCAGCTCTTCTATAACCGCTAATAAACGCGATGGGGCTACCCGGCTAAAACCAGCGTTGAGCAATATCGCGATACCAATGTATCGTAATAGTATTTCAGAAATACTTTTTGGATTTATATTTCTGCATCGCGATGCAACTTTTAAAACTGTATCAGTATTTCAGCATGGGAATGCATTTACCGTGTATTCCTTGGATCGCGATACAATCATTGGTTAATGTATATCGTTACAATTATTGAGCAATCAATGTCCTCTATGTAAGAGCTCAAGCGACTGTTTCTTCTTTTTTTAAATCTGCTTCCAGGGGTAGCGGGAACAGCGAAACAAACCATGGTCTGCTTGAAAACAAAACCTCAAGGTCCTCTTGAGGCTTTGTTCTCAAGCAAACCATGGTATGTTTCCCACATTAAGTCCCTGAGGTTCGCGACCTCCTCCTTATTCTTCAAACATAACATGGAAGGCTTCAACTGGTCGACTTTTTTGTTAGTTCAAAACGTTAAAGGCACTGTGTACATGAGCTTCACCAGCGTACCATCACACTCCCTCTGCCAATTATTTTGATTAGTATAAAAATTGTGCCTTCAAATCATCAGATAAGAAAACGCCAGTTTATTTCAAGGAAATCATGGTGTAAGGCGCAAAAAATGATGGACACAAGAGAGAAAACAGACATACAGTTCTTGTACAGTTTATTTCGAGGCAACGCCTTGAATTGTCTACAGAAAGACGCGTCGGGATCGGACTAGAGCAGGGGTGTCAAACTCGTTTTCGTGGGGGGATCAGATATTTGACTCCGCAAAGGTCGAGGGCCAAGCCAATGTAAGACGAAAAAAAAAAAAAGGGGGGGGGGGGGGTCAAACGATTTTAAAAAGATTTTATGCTTTTTGCAAACTCAATTTCGCCAGTGGCATCTTTAGATTCTTTATATGACTACTTTCAATCCTGACCTGATGTGATAGCAGGAATTAAAAGGACACCGCTCCGACAACCTGCTGACATTTTTAATAGAACAAGAGAGCAAGTGCGCTGTCTTTCCCCAGGAATTAACCAAGCTCAACATGTTTCTAGAAAAACGATCAGTTGATTTCTTTCCTGACGATTTTTATTACAATATTCCGACAAGATATTTGTATTTTAATGGTGATATTTTTTTTAAGGCGGGAATCTTGAGCTCGTAGCTTTTTCTTTTTAAGTTGCCCCACCTGATCGAGAGTTCGCGCAGCCGAGATGCATCCTTCAACATAGAGCTCGTGCTTGCAGCATAGTAGCGGAATAGACTCTTTCCAAAACTCGAAGCGCCTCGTTGCGGCGAAATGTCACGCAGTGCACCCTGGGAACTAGTTGGCCACTCAGTTTCGGTTTCGATTGAGAAGCTTCAGTTCATGCTATCACGCCGTGACCGAATGCGCTGCTTGCGTTTTGAATTATCCGACTTCCCACGAATGTACAATACTATAAGCATTTTCATGCAAAAAGCAAAAAAAAACAAAAAAAACTGGTCATAACAAAATACCCAATACCACGTCCGAGAGGAAAACCCTCTATATACCTATAAGTATAAAGATATAATGAACACTTGCATGCTTCAAAGCTCTCACATTGTGAAGGCGGTCATTGATAGTTTTGACAGGAGCCTGTGTTCGTCGGCACCTGTGGAAGGCATACTCTAGTTGGCTAACGAGACGCTTTGCCCAGATCGGCAACGGCGGACCGACAAGCTATTTGAAAAGCTACTCATGCTCAAATGGGAGTGAGTGCAGCAACACAATGCTGCGTTGAATATTATATTGTATTGATACCATGTAAAAAGTTAAAACGTTGCAAAAGGAAATTGTATTGCTGTTTCATTAATTACCTGCTACCGGTAATATATAAAAAAATGACAGCCGGAATATATACATTTGTAAAAAAAAAAAGCGTATTTCAGTATCTATATATTTCCACATATATTTATTTTATTTTCTGGTGTTTTTTTATTCTTAGGCGATACTTTCGTACAGGTGTATTTCAATATCAGTATTTTAGCTGTTCTGCCATGTATCCCAGTATTTGTATTTAGTGACATATACGTTCCAGAAACTCGAGGCTGCGCAGTTGGTGACGGTCTTTTTAGAAGATGCTTGTTTGTTTCTTTGTTTGTTTCCATGTAAAACGAGGCAGATTAGGGTAATATTATGGTGTCTGAAACGCGTCTTCGCCTGGTGAGTCATTCCACGTTAAACGATCAAGGCCTATATTAAACCCTTACGGATTCGGTCTCAAAACAAAAATGTAAATGTTATTGGTGATGAAAAACTACCTTTCCCAAAATATTCTTCCGTTACTTTTTCTTTTTTTTTTTGACACCTCGCATTACTAAAAAAAAAAAAAAAAAAAAAAAAAAACAGCTTGCACGATAATTTTGTTTAGAAAGATTTGAAACGAGATTGCGGAATAAATATTGTTTTTTAGTATGCCAATGTATTCTTCTAAATTATCCAATAGGTTTCGTCACGCATTTCCGAGAGTTTTAGGGTGCGGATGCGTTAAATCTGTCCTAGAAAGTTTGTATTCATATCTTTTTTTTTTCAGAATTACGCAACCATATAAAGACTTAAAACGTATGTGTCTTAGTAGTAAGGAAAAGAAAGTATATGAATAAAAATATTTTTTTATGAAGATATAATAGTGTTTTTTAAGTAAATGAACTATATTGAAGTATAAAAATATTCAACTAAAAAAATGGCGTGTAAAAGAGGTTTCATCTATAATTATATACTCAACCATTATAGGTAATTCAAAAATCTTACAACAAGAGACAAAGTTAGAACGAAGTACTAAAGTTTAAAAGGCAAAGAAAAAATATTGTATTTGGTTCATTGTCAGTATTGAAAATGTTGCAAAATATTCCATTTTCAAAACGAAAAACCAAAAGGTTCGGTCGAAAAATACATATTTCACGTCTATATGTATTTAGTAACCAGGAAACAGACTGAAGAAGTTGGAAAAAGATTGCCTTTTAATATGATCTTTTTTATATTGTTATCATTAAACAATTGCAAACTGCACAGTTAAAACAAAAGAAGCAAAGAGGTCTTCCGTTTAAAATCACACACCTAATGACTTTATATAGCATAAAATTTGGCAAAAAAAGCAGATTGAAAGATGTATTTTCTTTATATATATATATATGTATATATATATATATATATATACATATATGTATAAAGGGTATTAAAATATTCGGAACAGGAGCAACAAAACGATAGTAAATCTTTAAAATTAGTAATTATAAACAATCATTAAAACTAAATAAATTCATTTGCAGTATTTGCCAGTCTTTGTTACAGTTCTTTAGCACAATCACCCCCGAGCAATCGGAGCGCACAGAAAACTAGCAATGAGGATGTGTTCGGGATTAACACCGCTTCGAGAGCGGGGATCTAGACAGCGCAAGAGTGCCGTGGCGATTCTTTATGAAGTCTTTTATGTCATATTTTAATTATGCTTACGCCCAGGAATTTAACGCAGCGGAAGGATTACCACGGGACGCACCCTCCCGAGGATGTTCACGAGCTCACGATGGCAGGCGCCCTTGGCGCAGCAATGTGATCGACGCGCTCGGCTAGCAAAGTCCGTGCAAACCAAAATAATTGTGTGGCCTCGGCCCTTCACAGACCGTGGCAGCCAAGTGAGTACGCCTGTACCTGCATTAATACCACAAGCAACCGACTTGAATTTGTGAATGAAAAAAGTCTCCTTCAACTCTCTGTCGTGACCAGAGCTAGATCCAGATTCAAGAAGAATGA